ATATATGACATGTTTTTTTATTATATGACACAACGGCCTGCCATACTTGGTTAATTATGTCACAGCCTGCCATATAATTATTTAATGACACAGCGGCATGCCATACTTCTTCAAGGTTATGATACAACATGCCATATTTTTTATTCATACGACATAATTGCCTACTAGACCTCGTTAATTATGTTATACGGCAGAATGTCGTATTTTTAAATTATGACACAATGCCTGCCATACTTCTTTGAGTATGTGATACAACATGCCAAAAAAAATCTTTAATCATATGACACAACAGCCTGCCATATTTCGCTAATTATAATACAGTGATCTGCCTTGTTTTTAAATTGACTCAACCTGCCATACATTGTTAAATATGATACAAGTGTATACCATATATCATTATTTATATAACAGCATGCCATATTTTTTATTATATGATACAAGTAGTTTTGAACATTTTTGAATCAGTTTTAAATTTATTAGTTTAAAAAAAATTCTGTTCCTGAATTTTTCAAAGTTTCAAATTGTATTTTTTAACAAACTTTATGGCTCCAGTGTAGCCCCATACATTTACACACTGATGTGGGAACTCTGTTTGTAATTTAGTTCTAACAGCTGCTGTTTTGTTTGTTTTGTTTGTTTGTTTGCTCAGTAAATCTCAGTCCCTGACCAACACCTTCACGGAGACGTTACGTGGAAGCCTGACTGACGACGAGGCCAAGGCCGAGACCATCCGCAGCCTCCGGCAGTCGTTCGCCAGCCTCTTCTCCGACTAGAGGTCATCAGGTCAAAGATGAAAGAAACGAGCTCCACCTGTTCTGGACTTTCCTCTTTTCTGAGCTTTGGTTTCGTGCTCTTTGTGTCTGTGTTTGTGGACCTTCTTCCATCTATAACGGCTCTATCACTGGAACGGCCAATCAGGATTCAGAGTGATGTCATCACAAGTCGCCCTGACGGTTTGGTCCTTCCGGTGTTAAACGATAAATAACTCATGTTCTTACTCGTCCTGCTTGGTGTCGGTTCCTTCTGCCCTCTGTCTGTTTGTGTTTCTGTACTTTTATACTTTTGATTGACGCTCAGCTTCCAGATTTGTTTTCTGACGGCAGTTTTCTCACCCAGAACCACCTTCCTCACAGTCCACCAGCGAACGTCTGCCGTGACCCGACTTTACCAAAGTGCTTTGAAATAAGAAGTCACGCAGCGAACACAACCATCGAGTTTTACCAGGTGCAAAGAGCTGAACTGGCTCTCAGCCGCCGTCTTCCGCCAGCTCCGACCCGCACGCCATCGCCGCTCGTCTCTCCTCTCAGCAGCTGGATTTACAGTCTGAGCCGTCCTCCATCGTTCCTGCTGCTCCGGAGCTTTACAAACGCCATATTTGGAGTCCAAAGCGGGAAACGTGGCGTCCCTGCGGTCGTAAACATTCTGCAACACTTTTATAGCCTTTCAGGTTTTATTTACAGCGCCTCGGGAAACTTCCTGGAAAGCGGATCCTTTCATCTCGCAGCGCGCCGTCGGGTTTCCTGGAAGGTGAAATCAGAATCAGGTTTTAAATTTTCGTTTGCAGCTTTCTTTAAGGTTCAGCTCGCGGTTCAGACTCATCGGGTTGAAAACGGGATCACCTTCGGGTGGCGCTGAGGAAGACTATGCAGCAGAATTTAGTGCAAACTGATGCAAAATAAAGAAAAGTTTCATTAAATAACAGAAGCTTATGATGAAGAAATGCATGCTGGGATATAATTTCCCCTCTGGCAGATCAGTTTATATAAAGAGCAGTTCAGATCTTTAGAAGTGCGGTTTTATGGAAAAGTAAACAGTATCTTACCTGTTTCAGATAGCTCTTTGAACGACCAGTTTGGGGAAAGTGAGTTTATTTCTGACCAAGCTGAAAAACTAATGTCTAAATGGCAAAATCTATGGCTCAAATAGGAGCAGCAGTTAGCTGTAGCACTTCCTTTGCAGCCTGGAGTCACCTCGTGCAGGAATATCAAGATATTTCTGAGAAAAAAAAACCCTACAACGTGAAACTGACCGTAATAAAAAAGGTTTTAAACAACTTTGGTTTCGCTCTGCTTGGACTTTTCTGACGAGCTAATGGCTAGTCTGAGCCGGGTCACCTGCAGAGACCGTTGTGTTGTTTTAAAACTAATCCTTAACACTGCCATAAATGTAGTCTTCCAGCAGAAATGTAACAAAGTCCTAAACAGTTAGCTGGTATTTTTATTAACTTCATTATTGTTTGATTGTTTTATATATTTTTTGCAGTATTAGTTTTAGCTTTAAATGTTTTTTATAAAACTGATTTGTTCTGAAATTTTAGGAACGACTCTTGAAATTTGAAAATTCCCACAGAATTTCATTTAAAAACTGATTATGTAAATATTTAAATGTTCTCCCAAACCGCTAAAATGTTTGACCCACTCTGGTCTTAGCTTCTGATTAGCCGTTAGCTTGTCGATCAAACAGTTATCTACAGCAGGTTGGATATTAGTTGCTCGTAACCTCTCTGCAGAACCCACATTCAAAGAACCTGGACCATCACTTTACCTGCATGACGTCGTGTAAAAACGTTTTGTGTGAACGAGTATCTTTTTCTTGCAAATAATAAAAAAAATCCATTTTTGCAATAACAATGATTTGAAGCCATTTTGATTCAACTTTGAAAATAAGAAGCTGTTTGACTTTTATTTTGAAAGGATTTTTAATCTTGTCTCACTGATAATGATTAAAAAACATGTTTTGCTCTAACAAACAGCTGCTGATGAGGCAGAATTCTTAAAAAATAGTCATAAATCTGTTATTTGTTTTAATTTAAACATTAAACAGAGTTTATAGTATGGATGGAACGTAAAAATAACACTTATTTCTCTATTGATTCTGTGTCAAAATGGACCAAATTAATGCCAGAGCGTTCTGTCGTCAACCTGAAAATAATAAATCAGAATTATAAGCCATAATTGAACGAGGAGCGGCCACAATAATCCCGGTAATCCGGCCTGCTAACTGTGGGCCGATATTCGTCTTACTGTTTTTGAACATATCAGATAAAACTGAGTCAGGATTTATCATCAGACGATAACTGAACTGAATTAATGTTCATCTCAGTCCGTTTTAATGTGTTTAATCTTATTTGGGCATTCTGGGAGATGTAGGCAGTCCTTATTTCAAATGGGTAAAACCAGTGGTGGGCACAGTTTTGCTAATCCGCTAATGATTGAACTAGTTTCTCATTTAGCAGATTAGCTTTGTCGCTAATTTTGGAACAGTTAGCCGACTGATTAGCTTCTGCTAAATTAGATTTAGCTCATTTTAACTCCGCTAAAATTGTAAAACTTCTATTTGTATGCAGATTATCTTAAATTTAATAAAAACCATACCCTCTTACAAACAGTGCTGGATGAGTCAGGCACCGTGTATGTTAGCATGTAGCATCTTTAGCAGCTAAACTTCAAACTAAGAGCGTCAGAAAGAAATAAAGCAGTTAACAAAACTCAAATCAATACAAAAAATTGACTACGTCTAAAATATGGTAGAGAAAGTATTTCTTATTTTAATAACTTCAAAAGATATTTATAAAAATACAAACTAGATCAAAGAAATACTTTTATTCTGAAAGGGGTAAACTGGAAGTCAAGTCAGACAGAGCTATAACTGGTTCGGATTGGCTGTTTTGCCACAGATAAGCCCCGCCCATCTTCAAATTTATCCAATAAAAGCTAAAAATAGGAGATAGAGAATGGTTAGCATTAGCTTCCACTAAATTTTTATCTCTCTAGCAGGTACGCATTAGCAGAGCTACGATTCTTGTTTAGCAGWTTAGCATTAGCAAAGCAAAGATTTTTATTTAGCTGATTAGCTTTAGAGGAGCTAAGACTCATGCTTAGCAGATTAGCCTTAGCGTAGCGGTTCTTGTTTAGCGGATTACGAATTTTTTTTTTGTTAGCTGTGCCCATCACTGCATAAAACAAAAATATGAAATGCTTTTATTGTGATAGATTTTTCAGCCGTGTCCCAGGCTAATCTATGATTTAATTTAAACTTCTTGTATTAATCTGTGAACTGTTTTGTTTTATAAAAACGTGTCAAAATCTGTTTCTGCCTTTTAGAATGTCTGAAAACTAAACTCAGACGAGTCGAAGAGACGAGGCTGAAAGTTTCTGTGGGAACATTTCGCCTCAGTCTTGTATTTATAACGACCAGTTTTTTTTAAATTATTTATTTATTTATTTGTGCGTCCTCCTTCGTCTCGTCATAAATCACCTGGCGCGGCCGTGTTCTGGTTCCTGACAGAACCGGACTCTTCATTAGTTCCTGCACGGGTTCTCGCTGAACGCCTTCAGTTAGTTTTATTTTGAAAAACGTGTTTGTGTTTGTGTGTTTCAGTGTAAACGTGGCATGAAACCCGACTCTTCGTTTGTGCCTCAGGTGTGTAAATTAGGTGGTCATGTGATCTAAATGCTTATTCGTGAGAAGTGAGATGCATTTCATGCGTTTCTGTAATTTATTAGTATCCACATGGTTTCTGTAATTTTTCTCATCTTGTCTGTAAAAAAGAAACAAACAAAAAAAGAGATTAAAGATAAAGTTTTGTTAAAGCTGCTGGTTTTTAATCGTCCACAGAAAGTTTGTCTCCATTTCTGCTGGTTTTAATCTGACGTCAGATTAGGAGCTGGAAGGAGGCGGGARCGTTTCCTTTCATCTGCTGCCTTTTCTTCACCTCATCTTCCAGGAGGAACGAAATAAATCTACAAACTGTAAGATCAGATGTTTGTTTATGATTCAGCTCCTGTCAATCATCTACAGGAGGCGGAGCCAAACCCCCCGCAGTCCTGATTGATTTATTCATCTTAAACAGATCGTAACAGGATGAAGATGGAGCTCCCGGTCCATGATGGACTCGACTCTCGGCTACTACCACACCGAATTTTAGCTCAGATTCTATAAAAGTGACTGAATTTTAGCCTTTTTTTGTTTGTTTTCTGAGGTTTAATTGCAGCGGCCATCTTGAATCAGATTAATTAAAAACTATAATCAGTTGTAGGTTAATTTATTAGTCCCTGTTATTTAAAATCCATCCAGCAATCTTGAGATATTTTACTAACAGTGAAAAAACAGATATTAAAAAGGATGAATAGTTTTGACCAGCAGGGGGCAGCAGCGTCCCAAACTAAACTTCCTGTTTAATCTGTTTATAATCCAATACATAATCTGATGGTTTTGTCTGTTAGCAAAATATCACAAAAATAGTTGAATTGATTTGAATCACTGGATGTTTTAACTAATTCAAGATGGCTGCCAACTAACTTTAAATTAGCCTTAAATCAGTCGATTTTACAAAAGTTGAGCTGAAACTGGGTGTGGCAGTAGCTCTTCTAATGAAACTATACGATTATGTTTTTGGAACCAAGATGGCCGCCCCGCAGGTAGTCAGCCACAGCCATCACAACAATGGTTGTAACWGTGAATTATGAGCTGAAGTTTAGCTGAAGTAGCTGAAAGCAGCGACTGATTCTGCAGATTAATAAACTGTTTTAACTTTTGACCAAATCAACTAAAACTTTGTCTTCAGAGGCTGAGAGTGACCAAGGTCTGATTTTATTAAACGATAGAAAATTTAATCAATATTTATCTTCATCAATTCTTTTAATTATTCATATTTATTTGTTTATTTATTTATTTATTTATTTGTTTGTTTGTTTGTTTGTTTGTTTATTTATTGATTGATTGATTCTTTTATATTTTGTTTCCTCTGAGTTCTGTTTGATTTTACAGCTTCTGGTCCACTTTATCAGCTAAGAACCAGGTTCTGACTGATCAGACCAACGGGTCCAGATCCATACAGGTCCAGATCCATACAGGTCCAGATCCGTACGGGTCCAGATCCGTACGGGTCCAGATCCGTACAGGTCCAGATCCGTACAGGTCCAGATCCATACAGGTCCAGATCCGTACAGGTCCAGGTCCATACAGGTCCAGGTCCGTACAGGTCCAGGTCCATACAGGTCCAGAACTGTATAGGTCCAGAACTGTATAGGTCAAGAAATGTACAGGTCAAGATCCTTACGGGTCCAGATCCGTACAGGTCCAGATCCGTACAGGTCCAGGACTGTACTGCACCAGATCTGTACAGGTCCAGATCTGTAAAGGTCCAGAACCGTATGGGTCCAGAACCGTACAGATCCAGAACCGTACAGGTCCAGATCCATACAGGTCCAGATCCATACAGGTCCAGAACCGTACAAGTCCAGATCCATACGGGACCAGAACTCTACAGGTCCAGATCCGTACAGGTCCAGAACTGTACAGGTCCAGAACTGTATGGGTCCAGATCCGTACAGGTCCAGATCCATACGGGACCAGAATTGTACAGGTCCAGAACTGTACAGGTCCAGAACTGTACAGGTCCAGATTCGTACAGGTCCAGAACTGTACAGGTCCAGATTCGTACAGGTCCAGAACTGTACAGGTCCAGATTCGTACAGGTCCAGATTCGTACAGGTCCAGATCCATATGGGTCCAGAACCGAGCAGGTGACAGAACAATGGTTCTGTGTTTCAGATGTTCTTCAGGTAAAAACAAACAGGAAGTGATGCGTGAAGCTGTTGCTTAGCAACAACTGCAGCAGGTAAATCCAGTCAGAACAGAAGTGGAGCAGGTCGACTCTCAGCTACTACCACCAACCTTYAGCTGATTATCTGTAAAACACTGAGCTGAAGTCATTACTGTTTATGAAGCTGAGTTTGGCGGCCATCTTGAACAGTGCTGCCTCCACGATGCTGCGAGTAGGAGGATTCTGGGTTCTGTTCGGTTTGTGTCAGAACCTGAAGGTCTCAGCAGAGTTTAACACACACACACACACACACACACACACACACACACACACACACCTCTGCTGTCGCACAGTCTTCAAAAGGAGGAAAGGCCTTGGTTGTCACGGTGACGGCGATGCTCTGCAGAACTCAGGTGGGCAGAGAAGAATGGAAATTCTCTGCTGTGGATTTCCATGAAATCATTTTTTTTAAACTTTGTGTGAACTGAGAGACGACACTGAAGACTGATGGTGATTCAGAGGAATCAGTGTCGACCACCTTTGATACAGGATTTATCAGCATTTTACTTTATAAATGTTCTTAACTTGTTGCATCAAACCTGGATTTTAATTCTGACTCAGTTTAGACAAAAAGTATTAAAATAAAGGAGAAGATTTTGTTTTAAATAATTACATCAAAGCAAAGTAAAAGTGGAGAATGCACAAGTTTTCACCTTTTATTTTTTTGCTCTGAAGCTCCACCCACTTCCTCCAGAAGCCACCTGATTGGTCCAATCGGGTCTCTGCTGAACCTGAACCCACCTCAGTCCACCTGTACGTCGCTGGTTTGAAGCTGTAGAGTAAGTACACACTTTTATTTCTCTTTAATGGTTTTAAAACCCATCAAAAACATTTTTTCCTTTTATCATAATTAAATTGAATTAAATTGTTTATAATCCAATAAGGTTTTACAGAATTAAAGGGTCTGTGACATGCCTATCCATTAAATAAAAAAAGTTAAAAAAAAATTTTTTTATATAAGAAACATTGCATAAAACGTGATTTTACCAATTTTGTCTCATAACTGGGATATTTTCTTTTGAACTTGGCTCTGCCAAAGTGAAACAGGAAGTGACATCAGAGGGGAACTCTTTAAGAAACAACTCTGTAATTTTTGTTTATTGAAACAAAATTATTTGAACTCTGACTCATCTTCATCTCTCTGATAGAAACTCAAAATAATCTAAAACATCAGGTTCTTCTCTAGTTTGTGTCGTTAGCTATTTTATCAATGCTTTGTGCCCCTGTGACATCACTTCCTGTTCCTTCACATGCAAATATCTCAACAACTGTTCATCTCAGCTGCAGGAAATTATTTTTGCAATATGCTAATAATGTTATCTTTCCAATAATGCCTTTATATTTATTTTTAAAAATTTCATGTCACAGGCCCTTTAAAGCAGAACACTAAGGGGGTGAATACTTTTGCACCCTGCTGTTTCTGCATTGTTCAGAGAAACTTTGTGTTTTTCTGGATATTTTGGTCTGAAGTGTTTGTTTCCAGAGGGAACTCCTCCTGTAAACTAATCAAGTTAGTTTAAAAAACCTCGTTATCAAATAAGTTCATTAAAATAAACAGAAGGAAACAGTTTTTTTGTAAACAATCTGTTTGTTTAACTGTGCTGCTCCTGTCAGTCAACAACAAACAGCTTCTAATAAACAAAGAGATGAACAGAATCAGCTGCTGTTTCTCCATCATTACATTTCTAAACAGGAAGTAGGATGACATCAGCAGCTGCAGGGATGTGGGAATTAATTTCACTCTGGAGACGTTTGTTTCCCTTCAGATATCGGAGACGTCGTGCGTAAAAACCGTTTTCCTCCAGCTGAGCAACGCTACAACAACAAACAAACAGGAGGGTAAACAAAGAGCTCTGTGAGCACAAAGGAAACCTGAGAAACTTATCTTTAAAAAGAAAAAATGACTTCTGGATCCTCAGAACTGATTGACATGTGACAGAATGCTGCTTCAGAGCAAAATAATACAAACTAAAAGCATTAAAAAGCTAGCTGAAAGCTAAAAGTAGTCAAATACAAGCTAAAATATGGCAAGTTAAAGGGTGGGTTACTAAATACACCTAAAGATTATTTTAGAGAMGCTTCATTTTTCATTCTGAGTGCTAAATAACTGCCAAGCTTAGCTGAAAAAGCTGTTTTTAAAGCTGAAAGAAGTGGGAGACTAGCTGAAGGGAGCTAAAGGCTACCTAAGAGCTGACTAAAGGCTAGCAAAGTGCTGGCTAAGGGAAGCTAAAAGCTGCCTTAGAACTAGCTAAGTGCTGTCCAAAGTTTTGTTTAACAAAAGGTTGGCTAATGGGAGCTAAAGGCTAGCTAAGTGCTGGCTAAAAGGAGCTAAAGGCTAGCTAAGTACTGGCTAAAAGGAGCTAAAGGCTAGTGCTGGCTAAAAGGAACTAAAGGCTAGCTAAGTGCTGGCTAAAAGGAGCTAAAGGATAGCTAAGGGCTGGTTTAGAAGTGGCTAAGTGCTGTCTGAGGGGAGTTTAAGTCTAGCTAAAGGCTAGCTAAGTGCTGGCTAAAATGAGCTAAAGGCTAGCTAAGGGTTGGCTAAAAGGAGCTAAAGACTAGCTAAGGGCTGGCTAAAAGGAGCTAAAGGATAGCTAAGGGCTGGTTT